AATCTATATATTGTTTCTGCTGATAACCTTTTTATAACCAATCTCGCCTTATATCTTGTGACGTTTCCATCGCCATCTATTTTAGTTTTAAATACCCATCTGCAGGGAATAGCAACCCTTCCATAAGGGAGTTTTGACAGAGTCCATGTATTATTTTCCAATAATGAATTATATTCATCATCCATGGCACTTATCCATTTTTGTGAGTTTTCACATTGCAAGGCTTGCTCCAATGTTTCAGGATCTGACTCAATAGATTTCTCAATTTCATTCTGACAGAGGAAGGTAGGCATAGCTCTGTGTTTTCTAGGCCTTAAATTAATTCTGTTTATAGGGGATTCACTCCTGGATATAGAATGCTCCGGGACATAATCATCATCACTTGCACAGACTGCACTATCAATTTCCTTTAAAGTCATGTCAGTAGTATCATCTAAATTATCTTCATTTATTACTTGCGATTCAGTAAGTGGTAGAAAAGCAAAATCTTTATTTACACTTTCTTCTAGGAACATTACATCTCTGCTTCTCATTACTTTTCCTTCAGTTTTGTCAAACAATCTATAACCCTTGGACTCAAGACAATAACCTACAAATAAAAGCTCTTTTGACTTACAGTCCCATTTTAACCTCTTCTCCTTTGGCACATGCATCATAGCTCTGCAACCAAACACTTTAATGTTACTGATATTAGGTTTAATGCCGGACCATAATTCCTCAGGAGTTTTATATTGTAAAGACTTTGTTGGTGAGCGATTGATAACATATGCAGCAGTGGCTACTGCCTCAGCCCAAAACTTCTTATGTAGGCCAGAATTAATAAGCATACATTTAGCACGTTCTGTTAAAGTTCGGTTCATCCTTTCACTCATGCCGTTCTGTTCGGGGGTATAGGGTATAGTGAGTTGACGTTTGATACCAGAATCCCTACAAACCTTATCAAATGCTTCATTGACATACTCCTTTCCATTGTCAGATCTTAGTGTTTTAATTTTAGCATTTAATTGATTCTCTACTAGTAGCTTAATATCTTTAAACTTTTCGAGTACTTGTGATATAGAGCTGATAAAGTAAACAAATACCTTTCTAGACCAATCGTCGACAAAAGTGACATAATATCTGGCACCACCGAGAGACTTTTCCTCCATTGGCCCACATACGTCTGAATGCACCAACTCCAGGTGGGCGGAAGCCCTTGTGCCAGCATGTTTGAATGGTTGCCTTGTTTGCTTACCTTTCAAGCAAGTATTACATACCACATGCTCCTCTCTACTTGATTCTATATCTGCTCCTTCTGTAGACTCATTAAGTTTCTGAAGATCATTATAATTTAGATGACCCATCCTTTGATGCCATAGATGTACAGATGACATCAAAGCATAAGTTTCATTATGAAACACATATAAATTGTTCTTTATATATCCAGTGAGAATCAATTTAGACTCTTTATAAACATTACATGTATTCTTGCTAAATTTTACTTGACAGTTATTCTGTGTCATTTGGCGGACTGACAGAAGATTAACAGCCAAATCTGGCACATATAAAACATTTTTTACTTGTATTGTACCAATTTTTAATTCACTTTCACCATCATATGTTTCTATATTTACTTTACCACAGCCTTTTACTGTTAATATTTTGTTGTCTGCAACTTTAATGTTTGTTACTAAAGCAGGTCCGTAGTCATAAAGCCAATGTCTCTTGTTTGTCATGTGCATTGCAGCTCCTGAATCAATGTACCAGCATCCACTCTCTAGGCTTGGTGAGGCTGGAAACGCTGCAACATAGCTAGAAGAAGTATTAATAGTTTCAGACTTATTCTTTTGATTTGAGCTGTTTGAGGCACAAAATTTGGCTAAATGACCATGCCTATTGCACCTAAAGCACCTGGGACCTTTACTATTTGCTTTAGAACCTGAACATTTACTATTCTTTGCCTTGCCTTTGTGGAAATTTGAAAAAAAAACAGATGAGTTGTCCGGAGACTTTACATCCTGTAAAATCTTTGTTTTAACTAAATCAGCAGTGATGGACACACCTGAGCTTTCCATAGCCATAATCATAGGCCTATATGACTCTGGTAACCCGGCTAATAATAATGTGCCGAGCCACTCATCATCTACAATGAATTTTATATTACGAAGCTTGTGTGCACATGTGATGATTTTGTTGACATAGTTCTCAACACTACCACAACTTTCCAGATCTGTAGTAATTAGTTCTCGCAGAAGACCTACCTTCCTCAACAAGCCGGAGTCATCAAAAGCCTTTCTCAGGTTATCCCATACCTCCTTAGCCGTGGTGGCATCCTGGATATGAACATAGTTCATAGGGTCAACTAGAAGGACTATTTTTGACCTTGCCTTCGTATCTTCGGTCTTCGTAAAAGCCATGCCCGATTTCTCGACACATTTCCACAAATCTTCATGCTCTAAAAAGGTTTTCACCGCAAAACTCCATGTAGGATAATTATCACGGCCCGCCAAACGATCAATTTGAGCAAAACGGGGGTCCGCCATTGTATGCTGAAAAATTATTATGACGTCGCGACGTATCACGAAATCAATTTGCATCAACGTGATGCCTTTCACTTTATTAATCCTACTTCCCTATTTCTATCCGGGCGTCTGGGCCCATAACCTGTTACAAACTATTTTAGAGTAGGAATTTAGTAAAGAGAAATAAATAAAACAGCTGAGTTAGACAATGGTGCGAACCGCTCAATTTCTTGGAACAGACAGGGGCGCAGGGCTGCCAGGTGAAAAAAACGCATGATCGTACACCAACTATTAAAAAATCGTACACCAAGGAAATTTTGAAACGAAAAGATCGTACAACAAAAAAGTGGAAAGTTTTTATTTAAAATAAGTAGCTGCCTTTGCCTTGAAGAGTGTTACTTTAAAACTCCATATTCTGAAACTATTTCGACGTCACACACAGTCCACCTGGCTTTAAATTGGTTTTTACCGGGCCCTAACCGGTCCGTAAATAAATCAAATTTTTCCCGATCGGGACGTTACTTCTGTGCTCTGTGTTTGTTCCTCAATGACCTGTGTTGTAGAAAGCTCTCCTCTTTTGGCTAATTTCTTTTTTGGAGTACCTGGCGCAGGTCGGTCTTCTTCATTTTCACTACCCATTCTTGCTTAAGCGTATAGCACAAAAACCCCTAAAGAAAATATGCAGATCAAAAGAGGATAGTATAATCACTTAGAGCTAGAGACTGATGAGAAAAACAGGTTTTTGACTATTCCAATACAGGTATTTACAAGAGAAAAATAATAAGTTTTGTTACAATGCACACAAATATAGACTTCATATAAAAAAAGGGTCTTTAGACGTAAAAGGTCTAAGCATACGTTAGGTTGTTGGGGAAATCCCCAAACATAATACTTGCCGGTGGAGTATATATTCGTTTCATTACGAAATGTTGCCAGGTACAGAATAATCGTACATTTTATGTACGATCTTGGTCTAGCGATCGTACATGAGTAAAAATGACAAAAAATCGTACAAGTACGATTTAAATCGTACATCTGGCAGCCCTGCAGGGGCGATACAATTATTATAACAGATTACAATTTACATTGACAGATACAGACTACATAATATTAAGTGGTTGCGTTCAGTTTAACACATTTGACCCCAGAAAACAAGCAACTTTTGAAAGAGGCAAAAGCTCTTGCTATAAAGAAAAAAGGGTGCGTGTAGTCGTGTACTTTTGTACGCGCGTAAGAAGTTATACTTCTTTGGCATTATTAAAATAGTTTTTGATTGCATTCAAATAATTAATTACAATTAAATAATCAAAGACTGGAAAAGGAGTCATTAAAGTTCAGTTTGTTATAGTGGGTGGCCAGGTAAGCGGTTATTAAAATAAGACTACATTGCAATTATTCACACACATATATATTCAGCCATGACAGGCGGTCCGAGACATACTGTACAGGAAACGGAAACACATAGACAACATTAAATCACAGATACGTAACACAGTTTACATTTGAAAAATTAAATAAATAAATATTTATTATTATTCTATTACATTAAGTGTAACATAAATTCTATTAAGTTATTATTATATATTTAGAACATCTCTTCCAAACACAAAGATGTATGTTGTAGCTTTGGCAGTATTGCACAATATAGCAATTGATTTAAAAGAGGAACCTATCTTTGATGATGATGAAGAGACCCTGCCCTCACTACCAACAGTACCCTCATCTCAAAATACACTGCGTGGAGCAGCAGTGAGAGCCATATTTATTGATGAAAACTTTTAACTTTGATAGTTCTTAATTTAGTTTGTTTTAACAATTAAGTTATTTAAACAAATAAAACACTATTTATCTTTAAAACATTTTTATTTTATTATACTATTTGTTTTTAAGTGACTATAATGTCTTCATCAGAATTTCGGTTTGTAATTTTAAATTAATCATTACTTGGTTGTGCATCTACGAGGCTTCTCCAAAACTAAAACTACTACTTGCTTTCTGCAACAAATAAGAGAATATTAATCTAAGCTCTGCCCATGCAAAACTTAAAATTTTTTATAATTCATATTATAAATTTTTTAACACATTTATATTAATATAATTTTAAACTTTCTTTTATTCTATTTAGAGATAGAGATAATTTAAATATAATACCGGTGTCTTCCTTGTAGGTTTCTTTGGAGTTGTTAGGGGATTCTTGTTGTTCAGTTCGACATGATTTTCTTTATATAATACACTCGGCATCAAAAAAATCGCACCTTTTCTAAAATTCGTGTCAAGCGATTATAACTCCGAAAATCCTTCCTGCACCCTATCATTATTAGTATCATTTGAAAGCTAATGAAATCCCTTATTTGAAAACGGTAGAAAATTGGCCACCACCCCCATAAAAAAAGAAAATTCTGGGAAAATGTGAAACAATGTGTATTCTGATCAAAATTACAAAGAAAAGGAACAATACAAAAATTAAAAATAAATAATGACAATCCTTAAAAATTAGTCTTAAAACCTAGTGTTGCCTCCTCTAGCCCTCCGACCAACTTCTAAGCGGTCAGTCATGGACCTGATGAGCGTCACGACGTGTTCCTGGGGAATGTTGTCCCACTCCTCGATGACGGCATCTCGAAGCTCATCGAGAGTGGCAGGAGCTGGATTACGGCCCGTTTCAGCTCGTCCCAGAGGTGCTCGATAGGATTGAGGTCGGGGCTTCTTGCTGGCCAGTCCATAACCTTGATGCCAACTCGACGTAGGTAGTCCTTGACAATCAAGGCTGTGTGGCACCGGGCGTAGTCGTGCATGAACTCGGAGTTGGCACCGACAAAACCTGCACATGGGACCACATGCTCCTCCGAAATCTTGGTGATATACCGGTGGGCAGTCAGAGACCCCTGGCCGCGACCATCTCCAGCTCTGGAGACAGATGGAGGTCTGTCTTGCCGTCGATAGAAATGCCGCCCTAGAACATGCAGGATCCTCCTCCATACCCGACGGTTTCCACGGTGCAGGCTGGTGTGAAACGCTCCCCTGGTCGCCTGTAGACCCTCTTACGCATGTTGTTGGTGTACAGGCACACTCGGGTTTCGTCGGAGAACAGGACATTCCTCCACTGGTCGAATGTCCACGGCACGTGCATTTCGTAAAATCGCTTCGTTTTCGTCCGGTGGATGGCAGTCAATTGGGGGCCTGTAGCAGCTCTCCGGGGCAGCAAATTCTTCTCTCACAGCCTTCTTCTGATAGTGGAGACGCTGTCAGCTGTCCTTCGAGTAGCTCAAAGCCGCTGCTGCAGCTCCAAAGCGTTGGAGAAGCAGTTCCCCAAAGACGTCGACACAATGGAGCGATCACCTCTGACGGTAGTGCAGCGACGTCTCCCGGATTCATGTCTCCTGATGTAACCTCCAGTCTCTTGGAACCGTTGGTATACCCGTTGCACTCGAAATCGGCTGATTTTCAGTTGCCGAGCAACTTCAACCTGCCGTAGTCCGATTTGCAGTAGGGCCACCATTTGGGCTGCTTCTTCTGCCATGGTATCCATTTTCACTGGGTTTTTTTTTTTATCGAAGCTCTTCAGGTGTAACCTCTGTGACGTCTGGATAGCGAATAACCCATAATTGACTTTTACCCCCTCGTTTTATACGCGTCCGGGCTCGTACAATTAGGGAGCCTCCAAACGCGTACATCGCCACTTTTTAATCAAAGTGCTGGCGATTTGTGGTTTTTGATTTTCCGTAAACAAATGATTATTTTTTTGAAAGCTTATTAATTGAGCTTTTAAATGATACTAATAAGGATAGGGTACAGGAAGGATCTTAGAAGTTATAATCGCTTGACACGAATTTTAAGAAAGGTGCGATTTTTTTGACGCCAAGTGTATAATATAAGCCTTTATTCAGACAAGATACAATTTTACTTAAGCTAGAATATAAATGTTTAGTATTGAAAAAAATTAACTTAAATATAGTTGAATATTTACATTCCCTCGACAACCTTGTCTGTTTGCCTTTTGTTGGCAAAGGCCTCCTCCAAATGCAACCATAAATTACCATAAATTATTGACCTGGGGAGTTCGGGTCCATGTGCCACCTGCCACGGCTCTTATTTCACCAATCCACCTTAGGAATGGTCTACCCCTTTTGCTCTTCATGTGACCTGTGTACCAATGCATTAATGATTTGCTTCCATTCTAGCCCACTTCCATTTTAGTTTTTTAATTGTTATAGTCTTTTGTTTTTGTGTGATTTTTTATTGTTGATAATATGTTTATTCTGTCAGAAAGTTTTTTTCCCCATCATGCTTCTATTCATTGCCAAATGGTCAATAACTACTAATAACTATTAGTGTGGTAATAGCTAGTTATAATAGTAAATATAACTACTATTAATTTTAGATCAATGTTGGAGGGTTTTGGTCTAACTCCCCACGGGGACCAGCCGGGTTGGGGAGATAATTGTTTTCGAAGAGTGTGTTATTGTCAGTTGGTTCCTTTTGTTTTCCAGTTGGTGTATTGTATTAGTGTTGTGTATTGTTGATTTCTTCAGTGCTTCTGGCTTGCTATTCTCTAGGGCGAAACGGCTGGTCTATTTTGTTTATTTTTTTGGGTGCTCTTATAGTTTCCACCAAACTTTGATTGTCAGTGGCTGATGGTGATGGTGATTCAGTTGGGGACCGTTTTCTCTTTGTTTCTAAAGGTGCTTTTTCCTTAACAATGAGTTTGTTATACCGAATAAAAGCAATTTTTCCGTTTTTTTCTTCTTGTTCTTTCCGTTGTCTCAGTTCCTTTCTTATTTGGATAATTTCCTTCGGGTAATCTTCGGTTGCATGTATATTTGTCGGGAAATTTTTATTGTTTTTAGAAGTTCATATTTCCGCCAATTTAAAGCAAGGGTGATAAGTATCAGTCTCTTTTTGTCATTCATTTTCTTGCCTATCCTTCTCATGTTGCTGATCTCCCATTGATCCCACTCCCGCATCCCATCAGATCTTAAACTCGTTTCATTCAGCACTTCTAACACATTTTTCCAGAGCTCACTTGTACTATGTTCATTTTCTGCCATCCCGTGTAATATTATGTTATCTTTTCTCATTTCTCTCTCAAGATTTTGTATACGTGCATGGGAAGCTTGGAGATCTTGTTTCAGCTTTTTGTTATCCTCAACAAGTGGGCTTAATTTTTTGTCTATTGTTTGCAAAAGTTAGCGAATTGCTTAAACAGCCGCTCGACGCCATTAATGGTCCAAATCCAACCTTCCTGTGGGGGTGTTCGCAGAGACCCCATAAATTTCAATGTTTTCAAAAAATATTTCATACTCTGAAATAATTTGTGGTGTGGGCTTTTCGCTGTCAAGTTTGTGGAGAAAATTTCTCCTCGCCGCAAGTCTGCTGAGTCGCTATTCAGGGCGTCATAAAGCTTGTCCATATGTGATATCACATTTGCAGTAATAGCAGCTTCTGTACTGAGTGCGCCTGGAAATAAGAAATAAAAATTTATTAATAATGTAATAGAACTAATGAGCTATCTTATGACACATTTCTTCTACGCTGTTACATACCATCAGCTATCTTTGCATAAAGTCCGCTGCCACTGTGTGGCTCAAAACTTGTGCAGCTAGTTTGACGCACATTTTTTGTTTTGCATTTCTTTGTGAAAGCAGGAGCGAACACAAAATTTGGGGTTTTGTTGTCGATTTCAAAGAAATCTTTTATGTGTGACCATTTGGCCACACCTGTAAATAAACAAAAAGTAATTTAAAATTGAGGCAAGTACTTGGATGATAAGCGTAAATAAAATATTGTAAAACTAAAAGCTTACCAGCTTAAGAGCCTTTTCATTTTTAATAGGAAAATTTGAATTATCTTAAAATTAAATGGCTTTTAGCAGCTCGTGCAAGTAAGTGCCCTAAATGTTACAAAATTTATGATATTTTAGTTTAAACAGTCACGTGAACATACCTTTTCTTGTCTTCAGATGAAATGTTAGTAGTGCACTCAATGTCACAATCTCTTTGTTATGCACTGTTATGTATGGGCGCTCCACAGTTGCACCCAAGATTGCTATATGCTATTGAAGTGTGCTGTTCATCCGAGGGAAAAAGGTATTTTGCCCACAGGGTGCAGCTGAAAATAAACGGGCATAATTGTAGTAGATTATCAAAGGTGAGTAAGAAGCACGTAATTATTCTTGTCAAATTCAAGGCGTAGGTTCCATCGTGATCGACTGGAACTTGAACTACATTGTATTTTAACCACGACAATTTGACAGTTTTTGTTCTCTTGTTCAACAGTATATTTAATGTTATTGTGTATTGAATTTAAATGTGCTAGAAATGCAGATATTTTGTCATTGGGGAGTACTACAAATGTGTCATCGACATATCTCTTGTACAGTCGAGGTTTAACCGGGGCATTGGCCAGAGCTCTCTCCTCAAAGTCCTCCACGAAGATGTCAGCGACTATAGGTGACACTGGAGAACCCATGGCTACTCCATCAACCTGCACATAGAACTCATCTTTCCACATTAGGTATCCTGATGTGAGACAGTGTTTTACAATATCTACATAATCTGGTGACATGTTCTTAAGTCTTTTTGCAATTATATCTAGGCAGTCATTTAGTGGTAAGTTTGTAAATAGTGACTCAATGTCAAACCTCACCATGGTTTCATTGTGGAGTAACTTGAGATCTCTTAACATGAGCACTAGTGTGCCCCCTGAGAGGTGATAATATTGACACTAAGTGTTTGGCTAATTTGTATGTGGGTGAGTCAATATGACTGACTATGGGTCTTAAAGGATTGTTGTGTTTGTGTATTTTTGGCAATCCATACATTTTTGGAGGTTTTACGCAGGCTGCTGTTAAAGATTTGAGGTCTAGTGACAGTGTTTCAGAATATTTAGTAAGGAGGCTAGATGTTTGTTTTATTACCTTGTTTGTGGGATCTTTATCGCCTTTTTTATAGGTATTGCGTTCCCTTTGTCAGCTCGGAGTACTACCAAGTCTTCGTTCGCCTTTAGCTCCGCGAGAGCCTTCTCGAGAATTCCTTCGTAAGGGATTTTTCGCGGTGCCGTTGCAAAATTAAGCCTTTATTTAATACCTCGATTGTTTGTTTATACAAGTTTTGTTTTGACAGATAGATGACAGTGACATTTTGACTAGTATCGGGTGTGTCATTTAAAGTCGCGACGTTTGACAGGTGTCTATTGGTGTTCTGTGCTAGTTTTTCAAACTTTTTTTTTTATTTGTATGACTTTGCAGTTATTGAATTTGTTGTGAGCCCGAGTGTTTAAGATGTTTATGCACTGCCTCCAATCTATTTCCGATAATATCTCACGTATTTCCTCCGTTTCATTTTGGATTTGAATGTTTAGTCGTTGATACTCTGTTCTATGTCCGGCGACAAGTTTAATTAACAATTTTCTACTTGCTGTTTCAAGAATACTGGCGCTCCCAACTATGTCCTTTCTTGGAGCCAATCGTACACAGTTGGGGATGATGTTGTGGTCTCTGCATCTTTTAAGAAAATTGATGGATGCTAGGAGACGAGATGCCTTTGTTTTCTTGAATTCCAGTCGTCTAATTTTGTTTGCATTTTCCAGTCCGTACTGTTGCACATAGTATTGTCTTTTATTAACATAACCTTTACACATTTAAAGAAAACACTTTTTAACCGGATTTACATTAACAGGGTGCGTGGTCACGGCACAGAACACAATAACCCAAAGGAAGAACGACGACTAGGAACACAGATTCTAAGATACGCGCCACCTATAATTATCAACCCACCCAAAACTACATGTGGCGGCAATATTTGAATATCTGGCGTCAAAAATTTGAATTGCCGGCTGGTCCAGGTTCCCCAGAAAATTATTAATAATATAATGAAATAAAACAAAAACCTTTTCTCATTGAATTATTATTTATTTCACTTTTATGGATCCTTAGACACGAAATCAACATAATTTTGTAATGTTCGTACCTAGGTAATTCAAATGAAAAGTTTCTTCGCTACTTCTTCTCTACAAATGAATAATTTACATAAGCCACAGTGACTTGTTCATGAGTCTTTACAAGAGGAAGCAAACACCAACCATATTATAAGATGAAAATTATATACATTCCTCTGGTAGTAATGTTCTCTTATTCTTATAAAAAAAACGGTACCACGAAAACACTTAAGAAACGGTATTTACAATGAGAAGCATCAGGATATACACTGAAACTTGGAATAAGATAGAGAATTATGCATAAATAATTATTATTTATGCATAATTATCTTCATCTTGCGTTCGAGCGCAGATGCCGATGCTTCATCTGCAAACAATCTGTTTTTTAGTATACAAAATCTTTTCACACATAGAGAAAACACTTTCTATGATGTGGTGAATATTTTGTGTGCCATGTTGTGCGCATTTTTTTATGCAATCAAAATTTACATTTTGGAGCACCATTTCCTTTGCAATTGTTTTTAAATTGCGTTTGTGACTATTTTGTAATGTCGAATTTATTAATGTTTAATTTATTTGCATAGCGCAAACAACTCTCACAATTATTAACAATGCATATTTTTTTTATTAAAAATCCGCAGACATATGCGCATGCTTGCATTTCTGCATTGTCCTCTTCAATATTTTGTGGTACTACTGAAGACGACAATGCAAATGCACTGCACTGTCTGCGCAATTTCTGGTTTGTGAAACTGACAATAATGTCTCATAGTTATTCATTACGACATTATTGTCAGTTTCACAATTACATCCTGTGGTCCCAATATGTGCCCACAGTTGGGTTGGAATTTGAGCCACAGTTGCCCCTTATGCAGCCAAACAAATTTTCTAATGGATCTTGCTGTAACCGTCTTGTGGCCCGGCTCTTTATACCCTCGTTAGCGAATTGCTTAAACAGCCGCTCGACGCCATTAATGGTCCAAATCCAACCTTCCTGTGGGGGTGTTCGCAGAGACCCCATAAATTTCAATGTTTTCAAAAAATATTTCATACTCTGAAATAATTTGTGGTGTGGGCTTTTCGCTGTCAAGTTTGTGGAGAAAATTTCTCCTCGCCGCAAGTCTGCTGAGTCGCTATTCAGGGCGTCAAAAAGCTTGTCCATATGTGATATCACATTTGCAGTAATAGCAGCTTCTGTACTGAGTGCGCCTGGAAATAAGAAATAAAAATTTATTAATAATGTAATAGAACTAATGAGCTATCTTATGACACATTTCTTCTACGCTGTTACATACCATCAGCTATCTTTGCATAAAGTCCGCTGCCACTGTGTGGCTCAAAACTTGTGCAGCTAGTTTGACGCACATTTTTGTTTTGCATTTCTTTGTGAAAGCAGGAGCGAACACAAAATTTGGGGTTTTGTTGTCGATTTCAAAGAAATCTTTTATGTGTGACCATTTGGCCACACCTGTAAATAAACAAAAAGTAATTTAAAATTGAGGCAAGTACTTGGATGATAAGCGTAAATAAAATATTGTAAAACTAAAAGCTTACCAGCTTAAGAGCCTTTTCATTTTTAATAGGAAAATTTGAATTATCTTAAAATTAAATGGCTTTTAGCAGCTCGTGCAAGTAAGTGCCCTAAATGTTACAAAATTTATGATATTTTAGTTTAAACAGTCACGTGAACATACCTTTTCTTGTCTTCAGATGAAATGTTAGTAGTGCACTCAATGTCACAATCTCTTTGTTATGCACTGTTATGTATGGGCGCTCCACAGTTGCACCCAAGATTGCTATATGCTATTGAAGTGTGCTGTTCATCCGAGGGAAAAAGGTATTTTGCCCACAGGGTGCAGCTGAAAATAAACGGGCATAATTGTAGTAGATTATCAAAGGTGAGTAAGAAGCACGTAATTATTCTTGTCAAATTCAAGGCGTAGGTTCCATCGTGATCGACTGGAACTTGAACTACATTGTATTTTAACCACGACAATTTGACAGTTTTTGTTCTCTTGTTCAACAGTATATTTAATGTTATTGTGTATTGAATTTAAATGTGCTAGAAATGCAGATATTTTGTCATTGGGGAGTACTACAAATGTGTCATCGACATATCTCTTGTACAGTCGAGGTTTAACCGGGGCATTGGCCAGAGCTCTCTCCTCAAAGTCCTCCACGAAGATGTCAGCGACTATAGGTGACACTGGAGAACCCATGGCTACTCCATCAACCTGCACATAGAACTCATCTTTCCACATTAGGTATCCTGATGTGAGACAGTGTTTTACAATATCTACATAATCTGGTGACATGTTCTTAAGTCTTTTTGCAATTATATCTAGGCAGTCATTTAGTGGTAAGTTTGTAAATAGTGACTCAATGTCAAACCTCACCATGGTTTCATTGTGGAGTAACTTGAGATCTCTTAACATGAGCACTAGTGTGCCCCCTGAGAGGTGATAATATTGACACTAAGTGTTTGGCTAATTTGTATGTGGGTGAGTCAATATGACTGACTATGGGTCTTAAAGGATTGTTGTGTTTGTGTATTTTTGGCAATCCATACATTTTTGGAGGTTTTACGCAGGCTGCTGTTAAAGATTTGAGGTCTAGTGACAGTGTTTCAGAATATTTAGTAAGGAGGCTAGATGTTTGTTTTATTACCTTGTTTGTGGGATCTTTATCGCCTTTTTTATAGGTATTGCGTTCCCTTTGTCAGCTCGGAGTACTACCAAGTCTTCGTTCGCCTTTAGCTCCGCGAGAGCCTTCTCGAGAATTCCTTCGTAAGGGATTTTTCGCGGTGCTGTTGCAAAATTAAGCCTTTATTTAATACCTCGATTGTTTGTTTATACAAGTTTTGTTTTGACAGATAGATGACAGTGACATTTTGACTAGTATCGGGTGTGTCATTTAAAGTCGCGACGTTTGACAGGTGTCTATTGGTGTTCTGTGCTAGTTTTTCAAACTTTTTTTTTATTTGTATGACTTTGCAGTTATTGAATTTGTTGTGAGCCCGAGTGTTTAAGATGTTTATGCACTGCCTCCAATCTATTTCCGATAATATCTCACGTATTTCCTCCGTTTCATTTTGGATTTGAATGTTTAGTCGTTGATACTCTGTTCTATGTCCGGCGACAAGTTTAATTAACAATTTTCTACTTGCTGTTTCAAGAATACTGGCGCTCCCAACTATGTCCTTTCTTGGAGCCAATCGTACACAGTTGGGGATGATGTTGTGGTCTCTGCATCTTTTAAGAAAATTGATGGATGCTAGGAGACGAGATGCCTTTTGTTTTCTTGAATTCCAGTCGTCTAATTTTGTTTGCATTTTCCAGTCCGTACTGTTGCACATAGTATTGTCTTTTATTAACATAACCTTTACACATTTAAAGAAAACACTTTTTAACCGGATTTACATTAACAGGGTGCGTGGTCACGGCACAGAACACAATAACCCAAAGGAAGAACGACGACTAGGAACACAGATTCTTAGATACGCGCCACCTATAATTATCAACCCACCCAAAACTACATGTGGCGGCAATATTTGAATATCTGGCGTCAAAAATTTGAATTGCCGGCTGGTCCAGGTTCCCCAGAAAATTATTAATAATATAATGAAATAAAACAAAAACCTTTTCTCATTGAATTATTATTTATTTCACTTTTATGGATCCTTAGACACGAAATCAACATAATTTTGTAATGTTCGTACCTAGGTAATTCAAATGAAAAGTTTCTTCGCTACTTCTTCTCTACAAATGAATAATTTACATAAGCCACAGTGACTTGTTCATGAGTCTTTACAAGAGGAAGCAAACACCAACCATATTATAAGATGAAAATTATATACATTCCTCTGGTAGTAATGTTCTCTTATTCTTATAAAAAAACGGTACCACGAAAACACTTAAGAAACGGTATTTACAATGAGAAGCATCAGGATATACACTGAAACTTGGAATAAGATAGAGAATTATGCATAAATAATTATTATTTATGCATAATTATCTTCATCTTGCGTTCGAGCGCAGATGCCGATGCTTCATCTGCAAACAATCTGTTTTTTAGTATACAAAATCTTTTCACACATAGAGAAAACACTTTCTATGATGTGGTGAATATTTTGTGTGCCATGTTGTGCGCATTTTTTTATGCAATCAAAATTTACATTTTGGAGCACCATTTCCTTTGCAATTGTTTTTAAATTGCGTTTGTGACTATTTTGTAATGTCGAATTTATTAATGTTTAATTTATTTGCATAGCGCAAACAACTCTCACAATTATTAACAATGCATATTTTTTTTATTAAAAATCCGCAGACATATGCGCATGCTTGCATTTCTGCATTGTCCTCTTCAATATTTTGTGGTACTACTGAAGACGACAATGCAAATGCACTGCACTGTCTGCGCAATTTCTGGGTTGTGAAACTGACAATAATGTCTCATAGTTATTCATTACGACATTATTGTCAGTTTCACAATTACATCCTGTGGTCCCAATATGTGCCCACAGTTGGGTTGGAATTTGAGCCACAGTTGCCCCTTATGCAGCCAAACAAATTTTCTAATGGATCTTGCTGTAACCGTCTTGTGACCCGGCTCTTTATACCCTCGTTAGCGAATTGCTTAAACAGCCGCTCGACGCCATTAATGGTCCAAATCCAACCTTCCTGTGGGGGTGTTCGCAGAGACCCCATAAATTTCAATGTTTTCAAAAAATATTTCATACTCTGAAATAATTTGTGGTGTGGGCTTTTCGCTGTCAAGTTTGTGGAGAAAATTTCTCCTCGCCGCAAGTCTGCTGAGTCGCTATTCAGGGCGTCAAAAAGCTTGTCCATATGTGATATCACATTTGCAGTAATAGCAGCTTCTGTACTGAGTGCGCCTGGAAATAAGAAATAAAAATTTATTAATAATGTAATAGAACTAATGAGCTATCTTATGACACATTTCTTCTACGCTGTTACATACCATCAGCTATCTTTGCATAAAGTCCGCTGCCACTGTGTGGCTCAAAACTTGTGCAGCTAGTTTGACGCACATTTTTTGTTTTGCATTTCTTTGTGAAAGCAGGAGCGAACACAAAATTTGGGGTTTTGTTGTCGATTTCAAAGAAATCTTTTATGTGTGACCATTTGGCCACACCTGTAAATAAACAAAAAGTAATTTAAAATTGAGGCAAGTACTTGGATGATAAGCGTAAATAAAATATTGTAAAACTAAAAGCTTACCAGCTTAAGAGCCTTTTCATTTTTAATAGGAAAATTTGAATTATCTTAAAATTAAATGGCTTTTAGCAGCTCGTGCAAGTAAGTGCCCTAAATGTTACAAAATTTATGATATTTTAGTTTAAACAGTCACGTGAACATACCTTTTCTTGTCTTCAGATGAAATGTTAGTAGTGCACTCAATGTCACAATCTCTTTGTTATGCACTGTTATGTATGGGCGCTCCACAGTTGCACCCAAGATTGCTATATGCTATTGAAGTGTGCTGTTCATCCGAGGGAAAAAGGTATTTTGCCCACAGGGTGCAGCTGAAAATAAACGGGCATAATTGTAGTAGATTATCAAAGGTGAGTAAGAAGCACGTAATTATTCTTGTCAAATTCAAGGCGTAGGTTCCATCGTGATCGACTGGAACTTGAACTACATTGTATTTTAACCACGACAATTTGACAGTTTTTGTTCTCTTGTTCAACAGTATATTTAATGTTATTGTGTATTGAATTTAAATGTGCTAGAAATGCAGATATTTTGTCATTGGGGAGTACTACAAATGTGTCATCGACATATCTCTTGTACAGTCGAGGTTTAACCGGGGCATTGGCCAGAGCTCTCTCCTCAAAGTCCTCCACGAAGATGTCAGCGACTATAGGTGACACTGGAGAACCCATGGCTACTCCATCAACCTGCACATAGAACTCATCTTTCCACATTAGGTATCCTGATGTGAGACAGTGTTTTACAATATCTACATAATCTGGTGACATGTTCTTAAGTCTTTTTGCAATTATATCTAGGCAGTCATTTAGTGGTAAGTTTGTAAATAGTGACTCAATGTCAAACCTCACCATGGTTTCATTGTGGAGTAACTTGAGATCTCTTAACATGAGCACTAGTGTGCCCCCTGAGAGGTGATAATATTGACACTAAGTGTTTGGCTAATTTGTATGTGGGTGAGTCAATATGACTGACTATGGGTCTTAAAGGATTGTTGTGTTTGTGTATTTTTGGCAATCCATAAATTTTTGGAGGTTTTACGCAGGCTGCTGTTAAAGATTTGAGGTCTAGTGACAGTGTTTCAGAATATTTAGTAAGGAGGCTAGATGTTTGTTTTATTACCTTGTTTGTGGGATCTTTATCGCCTTTTTTATAGGTATTGCGTTCCCTTTGTCAGCTCGGAGTACTACCAAGTCTTCGTTCGCCTTTAGCTCCGCGAGAGCCTTCTCGAGAATTCCTTCGTAAGGGATTTTTCGCGGTGCCGTTGCAAAATTTAAGCCTTTATTTAATACCTTGATTGTTTGTTTATACAAGTTTTGTTTTGACAGATAGATGACAGTGACATTTTGACTAGTATCGGGTGTGTCATTTAAAGTCGCGACGTTTGACAGGTGTCTATTGGTGTTCTGTGCTAGTTTTTCAAACTTTTTTTTTATTTGTATGACTTTGCAGTTGTTGAATTTGTTGTGAGCCCGAGTGTTTAAGATGTTTATGCACTGCCTCCAATCTATTTCCGATAATATCTCACGTATTTCCTCCGTTTCATTTTGGATTTGAATGTTTAGTCGTTGATACTCTGTTCTGTGTCCGGCGACAAGTTTAATTAACAATTTTCTACTTGCTGTTTCAAGAATACTGGTGCTCCCAACTATGTCCTTTCTTGGAGCCAATCGTACACAGTTGGGGATGATGTTGTGGTCTCTGCATCTTTTAAGAAAATTGATGGATGCTAGGAGACGAGATGCCTTTTGTTTTCTTGAATTCCAGTCGTCTAATTTTGTTTGCATTTTCCAGTCCGTACTGTTGCACATAGTATTGTCTTTTATTAACATAACCTTTACACATTTAAAGAAAACACTTTTTAACCGGATTTACATTAACAGGGTGCGTGGTCACGGCACAGAACACAATAACCCAAAGGAAGAACGACGACTAGGAACACAGATTCTAAGATACGCGCCACCTATAATTATCAACCCACCCAAAACTACATGTGGCGGCAATATTTGAATATCTGGCGTCAAAAATTTGAATTGCCGGCTGGTCCAGGTTCCCCAGAAAATTATTAATAATATAATGAAATAAAACAAAAACCTTTTCTCATTGAATTATTATTTATTTCACTTTTATGGATCCTTAGACACGAAATCAACATAATTTTGTAATGTTCGTACCTAGGTAATTCAAATGAAAAAGTTTCTTCGCTACTTCTTCTCTACAAATGAATAATTTACATAAGCCACAGTGACTTGTTCATGAGTCTTTACAAGAGGAAGCAAACACCAACCATATTATAAGATGAAAATTATATACATTCCTCTGGTAGTAATGTTCTCTTATTCTTATAAAAAAAACGGTACCACGAAAACACTTAAGAAACGGTATTTACAATGAGAAGCATCAGGATATACACTGAAACTTGGAATAAGATAGAGAATTATGCATAAATAATTATTATTTATGCATAATTATCTTCATCTTGCGTTCGAGCGCAGATGCCGATGCTTCATCTGCAAACAATCTGTTTTTTAGTATACAAAATCTTTTCACACATAGAGAAAACACTTTCTATGATGTGGTGAATATTTTGTGTGCCATGTTGTGCGCATTTTTTTATGCAATCAAAATTTACATTTTGGAGCACCATTTCCTTTGCAATTGTTTTTAAATTGCGTTTGTGACTATTTTGTAATGTCGAATTTATTAATGTTTAATTTATTTGCATAGCGCAAACAACTCTCACAATTATTAACAATGCATATTTTTTTTATTAAAAATCCGCAGACATATGCGCATGCTTGCATTTCTGCATTGTCCTCTTCAATATTTTGTGGTACTACTGAAGACGACAATGCAAATGCACTGCACTGTCTGCGCAATTTCTGGGTTGTGAAACTGACAATAATGTCTCATAGTTATTCATTACGACATTATTGTCAGTTTCACAATTACATCCTGTGGTCCCAATATGTGCCCACAGTTGGGTTGGAATTTGAGCCACAGTTGCCCCTTATGCAGCCAAACAAATTTTCTAATGGATCTTGCTGTAACCGTCTTGTGGCCCGGCTCTTTATACCCTCGTTAGCGAATTGCTTAAACAGCCGCTCGACGCCATTAATGGTCCAAATCCAACCTTCCTGTGGGGGTGTTCGCAGAGACCCCATAAATTTCAATGTTTTCAAAAAATATTTCATACTCTGAAATAATTTGTGGTGTGGGCTTTTCGCTGTCAAGTTTGTGGAGAAAATTTCTCCTCGCCGCAAGTCTGCTGAGTCGCTATTCAGGGCGTCAAAAAGCTTGTCCATATGTGATATCACATTTGCAGTAATAGCAGCTTCTGTACTGAGTGCGCCTGGAAATAAGAAATAAAAATTTATTAATAATGTAATAGAACTAATGAGCTATCTTATGACACATTTCTTCTACGCTGTTACATACCATCAGCTATCTTTGCATAAAGTCCGCTGCCACTGTGTGGCTCAAAACTTGTGCAGCTAGTTTGACGCACATTTTTTGTTTTGCATTTCTTTGTGAAAGCAGGAGCGAACACAAAATTTGGGGTTTTGTTGTCGATTTCAAAGAAATCTTTTATGTGTGACCATTTGGCCACACCTGTAAATAAACAAAAAGTAATTTAAAATTGAGGCAAGTACTTGGATGATAAGCGTAAATAAAATATTGTAAAACTAAAAGCTTACCAGCTTAAGAGCCTTTTCATTTTTAATAGGAAAATTTGAATTATCTTAAAATTAAATGGCTTTTAGCAGCTCGTGCAAGTAAGTGCCCTAAATGTTACAAAATTTATGATATTTTAGTTTAAACAGTCACGTGAACATACCTTTTCTTGTCTTCAGATGAAATGTTAGTAGTGCACTCAATGTCACAATCTCTTTGTTATGCACTGTTATGTATGGGCGCTCCACAGTTGCACCCAAGATTGCTATATGCTATTGAAGTGTGCTGTTCATCCGAGGGAAAAAGGTAATTTTGCCCACAGGGTGCAGCTGAAAATAAACGGGCATAATTGTAGTAGATTATCAAAGGTGAGTAAGAAGCACGTAATTATTCTTGTCAAATTCAAGGCGTAGGTTCCATCGTGATCGACTGGAACTTGAACTACATTGTATTTTAACCACGACAATTTGACAGTTTTTGTTCTCTTGTTCAACAGTATATTTAATGTTATTGTGTATTGAATTTAAATGTGCTAGAAATGCAGATATTTTGTCATTGGGGAGTACTACAAATGTGTCATCGACATATCTCTTGTACAGTCGAGGTTTAACCGGGGCATTGGCCAGAGCTCTCTCCTCAAAGTCCTCCACGAAGATGTCAGCGACTATAGGTGACACTGGAGAACCCATGGCTACTCCATCAACCTGCACATAGAACTCATCTTTCCACATTAGGTATCCTGATGTGAGACAGTGTTTTACAATATCTACATAATCTGGTGACATGTTCTTAAGTCTTTTTGCAATTATATCTAGGCAGTCATTTAGTGGTAAGTTTGTAAATAGTGACTCAATGTCAAACCTCACCATGGTTTCATTGTGGAGTAACTTGAGATCTCTTAACATGAGCACTAGTGTGCCCCCTGAGAGGTGATAATATTGACACTAAGTGTTTGGCTAATTTGTATGTGGGTGAGTCAATATGACTGACTATGGGTCTTAAAGGATTGTTGTGTTTGTGTATTTTTGGCAATCCATACATTTTTGGAGGTTTTACGCAGGCTGCTGTTAAAGATTTGAGGTCTAGTGACAGTGTTTCAGAATATTTAGTAAGGAGGCTAGATGTTTGTTTTATTACCTTGTTTGTGGGATCTTTATCGCCTTTTTTATAGGTATTGCGTTCCCTTTGTCAGCTCGGAGTACTACCAAGTCTTCGTTCGCCTTTAGCTCCGCGAGAGCCTTCTCGAGAATTCCTTCGTAAGGGATTTTTCGCGGTGCCGTTGCAAAATTTAAGCCTTTATTTAATACCTCGATTGTTTGTTCACTTCACTTCACTTCACTTTATTTATAATGGCGACATCTGTGTAAATCACAATTCCGCCAATGTCACGTTCTAAGTCTTCACACAGTGAGGATAGATTTGATAATTTTGATAGATTGAATTTTATCTAAGCAGAGTTACCCAAAACAAAAATGACATCACAATAAATACAACACACACAGACATCTAATAATATATACAAGAGGTTAACATTTTATTACAAGGTATGGAGGGGAGAATCTTATTTATAACTTTAATTTATTAACAGAAATAAATTTCCCTAAAATTTTGACGATCGAGCTGGATGGGAGGGAAAGTAGGGAGTTAAGGTTACATGGACGAGGGAAATCTGGAGAAAGATGGTCAAATAACGAGTCATTAATTAAAGAACAGTTAAAAAAATATATGGTCTGTCGAGCCCTCGTCCATACCACACTCACAGAGAGAACTGTCTTTAATTTTAATTTTGGCTAGATGAAGGGGAGTACAAGCGTGCCCTATACGAAGACGGCAGATTATAGACGTGACCTTTTTGTTTAAAAACTTATGTTTAAAAAACCACGGCGAAGAAGGGATTGAAAACTGAATATTAGCATAGTGTCTGCCAGTTTTTACTTTAGAAGATTGCCAATCAATAGTCCAGGATTTTAAAAGGTGGGAGTACGCAAGAGCTGATAGGTCGAGGGCCGAGATGTTGGTATGCTGACAAGATCCGCAGAAAATAGCACCTTTTGCACAAGAGTCAGCAGTTTCATTACCCGCTATACCACAATGACTAGGTATCCACAAAAAGTACAATATGAATATCTTTTTTACTACACCTAAACAAAGCTTCTCTTATTTTTAGAATCGTATTATGTTTTTTTTTAGACCTGAATGGATTGGAAAGAATTGCCTGTAAACAGCTGCGAGAATCGGAAAAAATTGTAACTTTATTTAGGTTGTGGGACTCAGCATACAAAACCGCTTCTAGGATTGCAAAAGCTTCACCTGAAAAAACGGAGGTCAATGGAGGAAGTTTAAAGCTCAATACTGTTTTGAATGAAGGAACCCATACAGCCGCACCGATGTACTCATTATTGGGAATCTTGGAAGCATCAGTATACATCGTTAACCAACCCTGCCAGTCTTTTGAAATTTTTTCCAGAAAACAAGTGGAAGCTTGGGTGGATTTTTTTTCAATTCCAAAGTTTAAAATTATTTTAGGATCAAAAATGAGGGATTCATAACTATTTAAAAACAAGGGATTACTAGGGAAACTTTCAATAGGATTAGGAAGACGAGAAAGTTTATTAAAACTGTGTAACAGGCATTACCTGTACATTACCTGTACTAGATGGCATCGTGAGATTAGATAAGCGACGTAATTTGGACAAGATGGAATGTGAAGAGTATTGAAGGACTTTTATGAAGAAGCGGTCACTTAAAAATTGTCTACGTAAATACAGGGGGGTCAACACATTCTATTTGGAGAGCATTGATGGGAGAGGATTTCATAGCACCAAGGATGATGCGTAAAGATTTCGATTGAATTTTGGAAATTTTATCAAGGGCTTGCTTGTTGCCAGGATCTAAAAGGAAGGTGCCATAATCAAAATGACTTCGTACCACAGCATTGTATAAAAGCTTTTGCGAGTAGGGGTGTGCTCCCCACCTCACACCAGATAATGAACGGAGAACATTAACACCCTTCTCACTTTTTTTAATCACATGGTTAAAATGAGGAACACCGTTTAACTTTGAGTCTAAAATAAGGCCTAAAAATTTTACTTGCTTACAACACGATACCAAGGACCCTTTATATGAAATGTTACACCGTGGAACCTTGTATTTTGTAGTAAACGTGACTGCCGAACATTTGGGCACAGAAATAGAGAGACCATGATCATTTAACCAATCACCCAAATAATCCAAAGCCGAATTTAGGCGTGATGATGCCTCTTCAATAGAATTTGATGAAAAGTATAAGGCTACATCGTCCGCGTACTGAAGAATCTGACAGAAGGAATTCACAACAAGCTCCAGGTCATAGGTGTAAATGTTGTACAGAAGAGGACTCAAAACAGAACCTTGGGGCCCCTCCAAATAGATCTAGGAGACAGCTCCGTATTTTGAGATCTTATAATAATATAACGATTCGAAACTGCATTGCAAACAAAACGTACCAACTTCTCAGGAATACTCAGCTGAAGCATTTTTTGCCTGAGCACTGGAACCAGCACGTGGTCATACGCAGATGCGATATCCAAGAAAACACCCACCAGGAACTGTTTCTTTTTAAAAGCAATGCGAATGTCGGTCGTTATTATACTTAGGCTATCCATCGTACTTAAGCCTTTCCTGAAACCAAACTGGGATTTTGCAAAGATATTGTTACTTTCACAAAACCATTCTAAACGAATTTTAATCAAATGTTCCATAATTTTTAAAAGGGTAGAAGACAAAGCAATAGGTCTGTATGAAGAGAAATCTGATGGATCTTTGCCAGGTTTTAGAAGCGGAATGACGATTTGTCTGTTCCACGATTCAGGAATAATTCCATGATCGAAAAAACAGTTTACTAAATCTAGAAAGTACCTCTTAGTGCCTAATGAAGAATTTATGAGGAATGAGTAAGGGATTCCATCTTCTCCAGGGGAAGAGTCAGAGAGACCATTTAATGCTTTGTTAAGTTCTTCTAAGGAGAATTGACAATCTAGACTGTTTGAAGAGGGGATGTAAGAATTATACTTATAAGGAAGACAATCATAAAAAGGGACTGATGGAGGAGCCAATTTGTCGGCAAAGGAGGTAATCCAGCTAGACGGATCATTAAAAGGGACATCATAAGAATTGAGGGAACAACGGAATCTTCTGATCTGCCTCCAAACAACAGACGAAGGGGTACCAGGGCACATGCTCTCACAGAACTTATGCCAACCAAGACGTTTCTTATTATTAAGAAGTCTGCGAGCAGCTGCAGAAGCTTGTTGGTAGACTAAAAAAATTTCCAAGGTCATGCAAAGACTGTATGACCTTTCTGCCGTTTTTCTTTTTCGAATCATCTCAGTACATTCGGAATCCCACCAAGGAGGAGAAATTTTCCTTAGTGTAGAAGATTTGAGTGGAATATGTAAACTGGCAGATGAGGTGAGGGAGTTGACAAAATCATTGTATGAAGATAGGCAGTTTTCAACAGAAACTGCGGGAGCGCAGCTATCTTAGAGTCAATAGAAGATGAAAAGTCTGACCAATTGGCCTGATTCAGTTTAAATTTTAAAAGAGGGAAGGGCGAGTAACGCTCCTTAAATTGGTTGGGAGATCAATTAAAATGGGGAAGTGGTCACTCCCACAAGTGCTCTTAAAAACACGCCAGGATAGAAAAGGGAAAGATCAGGAGAACAAAGTGATAAATCCACTGCGTTAGCGGGATTCTGAGATGGAAGACTCCTTCTCGTAGGACAACCATTATTCAAGACACTTATGTTTATATCATCGAGTAAATCTAGTAGAAGGGACCCAAAAGAATCTGAGGAATGACAACCCCAAGAAACATGGTGGGCATTGAAATCACCCAACATGACAACAGGAGGAGGAACCGAAAGGATAATAGAACGTATATCAGAAATGAGGTCGATATGGGGGTGGGGAATATAAACAGAAATAAACGAGATATTAAAAGCTCTCATAGCAACAGCATTAATACCATCACAATGAGGAAGAGATAATGAGTGGAAGGTGAGGGATCGGCTGACCAAAAAGGCACAGCCAGCATAGCCATCATCCCTGTCATCTCGGAGACATCGATACCCAGAAACCCTAAAGCGGGAACCCGGCAATAACCAAGTCTCCGAAATGGCTAGAATAGATGGAGCGAATTTATTGATGAGAAAGGTTAATTCGGATTTTTTACTGCGAATACTGTTACAATTCCACTGGATTACTAGATTCGCCATTTTTGGTGACGAATGAGTGGAGCAAATTAATTTTTTGGGCAACGTGGGACGGTATGGGGATGTCATCATATTTAGATAGCATGTTACAAATGACTGCCCATAAGCAGTCAAGAAGATTTTCATTTGGGGAGACTTCATTGTTGATAAGGGTTGGGGAGCTTACGGCACAACCATTGGGTAAAGAGGAGGGAAAATTGGAAGTAATGGCCTCATGGGCCGCCTTATCAAAGGATTTTCCTGATGTTGGCCTAGAGCGAGGAGGGAGAAATACCGTTTTCCTGTATGATGTTGTCTGACGGGAAACTTGGGAAGGTATAATAATGGGCTGGGATACATTGAATGAAGGGGAGGGCGTTGTTTTAACAGAGTCTGCGAAAGTTTTGCCACTGATAGGTCTGAACCGAGCCGATGCTTCGAGATAAGAAATGCTCTCCTGAGACATACAACTCTTTATGTTTTTTTGTCGATTATGCTCAGGACAAGCTTTGTTGGTCGCATAGTGCGAGGCAGTACAAAATAAACATAATGACTCTATTTCAGGGATATTACAATCATCACCAGGATGGGCTAAAGTACAACGAAAACACCTAGGCTTAGAACGGCATTGTGACTTTACGTGACCAAATCTACAACAGTTGAGACATTGAATTGTTGGGAGTTGGTACGTTTCAACGCGGAGGGAACTATGACAGGAGAATATTCTCTCCGGAAGGGTTTGTCCCTGAAAGGTTAAAACAACAGTTTGTGTTGGAATCCAATTAATTTGACCATCGGAGTTTGTCTTGCGGTTTAGGCGTCTGGCCTTGAGGACTATACCAATACCTTCAGGAATTTCCAGGGTTTCGACAAATTCTTGCATCGACCAATCAGCTGGGACACCTCTCACAAGACCCATACGGGAAACATTGTAATTAGGAATCGTAACAGAATAATTGCTGGAAGGTATAATGGGATTAGACACAAAATTATTAGCATCTAAACCCGACTTAAACTCAACAGATATTCTGTTACGTCCCACTCTTTTAACACCATCACGAACAATGTTACTTACTTTATTTTTTACCAAGAAGTGACCAAATTTAATTGGACGGATTGATGTACCGGCGGATGGGTCAGATTCAGGGCAAGAAACATGGACTAAAAAAAGGGCCCTTGTCATTGACAAGGTATGACTTGGGAGAGCCAGTGAGAGATGGATGAGAGTAAAATCCTGGGTTGACGTCATCAACAGATGACCGGACATCAGTCATTGGTTTTTTGGAAGGTTCCACTAAAGATTCATTGACAGTATCAAGTCTGCGCTTGACACCAGGTTGGGGCAACAGTGGGGTGGATAAATCCATTGATTCCACCGGAGAAGAGACCCTATCCGGAGGATCAGGGGGGTCTGGAGGGCGTTTCTCCATTATAGACTAACAAAAATATAACAAGGTAAAGGGAGAAATATAACAAATAAATAAAAATAACTTACGTAATTAGTTGATGTTATTAATTAACCACCACCAATAGGATAAGTCAACTTATATTCATTAAACTACGAGAAAAAATAGAAAATACTAAATAATGATATCCGAAACACGTGTAAACACTTATACCCGCAACGACGGAATCCACCTCGATTGTTTGTTTATACAAGTTTTGTTTTGACAGATAGATGACAGTGACATTTTGACTAGTATCGGGTGTGTCATTTAAAATCGCGACGTTTGACAGGTGTCTATTGGTGTTCTGTGCTAGTTTTTCAAACTTTTTTTTTTATTTGTATGACTTTGCAGTTATTGAATTTGTTGTGAGCCCGAGTGTTTAAGATGTTTATGCACTGCCTCCAATCTATTTCCGATAATATCTCACGTATTTCCTCCGTTTCATTTTGGATTTGAATGTTTAGTCGTTGATACTCTGTTCTGTGTCCGGCGACAAGTTTAATTAACAATTTTCTACTTGCTGTTTCAAGAATACTGGCGCTCCCAACTATGTCCTTTCTTGGAGCCAATCGTACACAGTTGGGGATGATGTTGTGGTCTCTGCATCTTTTAAGAAAATTTATGGATGCTAGGAGACGAGATGCCTTTTGTTTTCTTGAATTCCAGTCGTCTAATTTTGTTTGCATTTTCCAGTCCGTACTGTTGCACATAGTATTGTCTTTTATTAACATAACCTTTACACATTTAAAGAAAACACTTTTTAACCGGATTTACATTAACAGGGTGCGTGGTCACGGCACAGAACACAATAACCCAAAGGAAGAACGACGACTAGGAACACAGATTCTAAGATACGCGCCACCTATAATTATCAACCCACCCAAAACTACATGTGGCGGCAATATTTGAATATCTGGCGTCAAAAATTTGAATTGCCGGCTGGTCCAGGTTCCCCAGAAAATTATTAATAATATAATGAAATAAAACAAAAACCTTTTCTCATTGAATTATTATTTATTTCACTTTTATGGATCCTTAGACACGAAATCAACATAATTTTGTAATGTTCGTACCTAGGTAATTCAAATGAAAAGTTTCTTCGCTACTTCTTCTCTACAAATGAATAATTTACATAAGCCACAGTGACTTGTTCATGAGTCTTTACAAGAGGAAGCAAACACCAACCATATTATAAGATGAAAATTATATACATTCCTCTGGTAGTAATGTTCTCTTATTCTTATAAAAAAAAACGGTACAATCTGCAAACAATCTTTCTGCAAACAATCTGTTTTTTAGTATACAAAATCTTTTCACACATAGAGAAAACACTTTCTATGATGTGGTGAATATTTTGTGTGCCATGTTGTGCGCATTTTTTTATGCAATCAAAATTTACATTTTAGAGCACCATTTCCTTTGCAATTGTTTTTAAATTACGTTTGTGACTATTTTGTAATGTCGAATTTATTAATGTTTAATTTATTTGCATAGTGCAAACAACTGGATACAAAATCTAGCTGCTAACCAGGGCAAAACAAAGACTAGACAAGATTTAATTAAATGTGCCACAGCATTCTATTCAGAACTATATTCAAAGCCAACCGAAGAAAATAATATACATGAAATTATATATGCTCAACAAAGAACAAGAACTGAAATAAAAGAAGTGACAGAATCTGAAATTCTAAAACACATAAAGAAATTGAAAAATGACAAGAGCCCAGGATCAGATAACATCAGCAATGAAGCCTTGAAACAAGGAGCATTCCTAATAGCACCATTTTTAAAAAATCTACTTAACATGGTTCTCAAATCAGGAAAAGCTCCACAGCAATGGTGCCAATCTGAAATTATATTAATCTATAAGAAGGGAGATCCTAAGGATAATGGTAATTATAGGCCTATCAGCTTACTGTCCGCCCTATATAAACTATTTTCAGCTTTGTTACTAAGTAGAATAACAGAAAAATAGATCAGAGACAATCAATAGAACAGGCAGGCTTCCGCTCTAGCTTTTCCACAATAGATCACATACATACCATTGAACAACTCCTAGAAAAATTCAAAGAATTTAATCAACCTCTCTATATTGGGTTTGTAGATTACCAAAAAGCATTTGACACCATCACCCACAGCTCTATATGGAAAGCTTTACAGGCTTGTGACATAGACACAAGCTACATTAACATAATTAAAGATATTTACTCTAGGAACACAAGCAGAGTAAAACTCGAAAAAACTGGAGAAAATATAACCATCAACAGAGGCGTAAGACAAGGAGATCCACTGTCACCCAAATTGTTTATTTATAGCAGTCTTAGAAACTGTATTCCAAAAATTAGACTGGAGTAAAAAGGGAATTTGGATTCATGAAAAACATTTGAGTCACTTAAGGTTTGCAGATGACATAGCTGTTTTTGCTAAATCAGCACAGGAACTGGAACAAATGATGCAAAACCTGAACAAGGAAAGCAAAAAAGTAGGGCTGTATATGAACGCTACAAAAACAAAAATAATAACAAATAGCAGTAGGAAGCCAATTTAAATAGACGGAGTCTGCATTGAATATGTTAAAGACTACATTTATCTAGGTAAATTGATATCATTTGAACCAAACAGCAACGACAATGAGGTAGAACGAAGAATCAAAAACTCATGGAAAAGTTTCTGGTCTCATAAAGAAATACTCAAAGGAACCTATAACTTAAAAGTAAAGAGAACAGTAATGGACACATGTATTTTACCTTGTCTAACATATGCAAGCCAAACATGGGTATTCACTAACAAAGTGAGAAACAGATTGCTTACGACACAACATGCTATGGAAAGGAGCATACTGAAAATTAAGAAGATACAAAAGATAAAGAACAAAGACATACGCCAACAAACTAAATTAACTGATGCTCTTAGGCACGCCTTAAGAATGAAATGGCAATGGGCAGGACATATCTCTCGATACATCGACAAAAGATGGACTGTACAAACTACAAAATGGACTGGTCCACTTGGTAAGAGAAACAGAGGTCGACCCAAAAAAAGGTGGGTGGATGACATAGTCAAAATAGCAGGCGGAAACTGGATTACTACAGCTACAAATAGAATAAAATGGAAAAAAATGGAGGAGGCTTTTACGCAGATGGGATCCAAACTTTGAATATACTAATGTTACACATACTAACATAGATTAAGATTACTACATATTACTAACATATAAAATATTCTTACTTTTTTTTTGTACCTTAATGAGTTTGGAATAAATAAAGCTATAATAATAATAATAATAATAATAAAATAGTGCAAACAACTCTCACAATTATTAACACTGCATATTTTTTTAATTAAAAATCCGCAGACATATGCGCATGCTTGCATTTCTGCATTGTCCTCTTCAATATTTTGTGGTACTACTGAAGATGACAATGCAAATGCACTGCACTCTGATGCCAATATGTCTGCGCAATTTCTGGGTTGTGAAACTGACAATAATGTCTCATAGTTATTCATTACGACATTATTGTCAGTTTCACAATTACATCCTGTGGTCCCAATATGTGCCCACAGTTGGGTTGGAATTTGAGCCACAGTTGCCCCTTATGCAGCCAAACAAATTTTCTAATGGATCTTGCTGTAACCGTCTTGTGGCCAGGCGTCTTTATACCCTCGTTAGCGAATTGCTTAAACAGCCGCTCGACGCCATTAATGGTCCAAATCCAACCTTCCTGTGGGGGTGTTCGCAGAGACCCCATAAATTTCAATATTTTCAAAAAATATTTCATACTCTGAAATAATTTGTGGTGTGGGCTTTTCGCTGTCAAGTTTGTGGAGAAAATTTCTCCTCGCCGCAAGTCTGCTGAGTCGCTATTCAGGGCGTCAAAAAGCTTGTCCATATGTGATATCACATTTGCAGTAATAGCAGCTTCTGTACTGAGTGCGCCTGGAAATAAGAAATAAAAATTTATTAATAATGTAATAGAACTAATGAGCTATCTTATGACACATTTCTTCTACGCTGTTACATACCATCAGCTATCTTTGCATAAAGTCCGCTGCCACTGTGTGGCTCAAAACTTGTGCAGCTAGTTTGACGCACATTTTTTGTTTTGCATTTCTTTGTGAAAGCAGGAGCGAACACAAAATTTGGGGTTTTGTTGTCGATTTCAAAGAAATCTTTTATGTGTGACCATTTGGCCACACCTGTAAATAAACAAAAAGTAATTTAAAATTGAGGCAAGTACTTGGATGATAAGCGTAAATAAAATATTGTAAAACTAAAAGCTTACCAGCTTAAGAGCCTTTTCATTTTTAATAGGAAAATTTGAATTATCTTAAAATTAAATGGCTTTTAGCAGCTCGTGCAAGTAAGTGCCCTAAATGTTACAAAATTTATGATATTTTAGTTTAAACAGTCACGTGAACATACCTTTTCTTGTCTTCAGATGAAATGTTAGTAGTGCACTCAATGTCACAATCTCTTTGTTATGCACTGTTATGTATGGGCGCTCCACAGTTGCACCCAAGATTGCTATATGCTATTGAAGTGTGCTGTTCATCCGAGAGAAAAAAGGTATTTTGCCCACAGGGTGCAGCTGAAAATAAACGGGCATAATTGTAGTAGATTATCAAAGGTGAGTAAGAAGCACGTAATTATTCTTGTCAAATTCAAGGCGTAGGTTCCATCGTGATCGACTAGAACTTGAACTACATTGTATTTTAACCACGACAATTTGACAGTTTTTGTTCTCTTGTTCAACAGTAAATTTAATGTTATTGTGTATTGAATTTAAATGTGCTAGAAATGCAGATATTTTGTCATTAGGGAGTACTGCAAATGTGTCATCGACATATCTCTTGTACAGTCGAGGTTTAACCGGGGCATTGGCCAGAGCTCTCTCCTCAAAGTCCTCCACGAAGATGTCAGCGACTATAGGTGACACTGGAGAACCCATGGCTACTCCATCAACCTGCACATAGAACTCATC